TGGTCGTCGGGGACGAGACAATCGTCATCTTCCACTCTGAAGGGTGAGCTCCACCTCTCGCACAGTTCGTGCGCAGCTGACAGGCAGAGCCGCCGCCTTGCATTCTTTCGTCCTCCCCGCGGACTCGTCGAGCAGCCCGTCTATCACCTCCCTCCCCTTCTCGCATCCCATTCTCGAATTCGTCCCATTGCCCAACCACCCGGGTCACGTTCTCGTCTCTCTCGATCCATCTTTCGGTACTGTTCGAAACAACCAGACCGTTCCTCCATTCAAACCCCCTCAGTCTCTTTCCGAAGACCAACTCGCCGCGTGCTCAAAGTCATTATCGATCGTGCGAGTCGGAGCAGGTGGAACGGTGAGTTTGATAACCTTTGATAGATTACTGATTCCAGCTCGAGGTTGTCGAGTCGGACATTCTGGCTCCTCTGCAACAAGCGCTCAACGACTCGTCTGCGCTCGTCCCTCTTCAAGCCCTTTCTTCGTTGCAGTTGTACAACAACCTGTCCCTCTACCCCCGCTGGCCCGGATTCGAGGAAGACGACGAGCTGGCGGGGACCAACGATGACTCCGCTACACCTGCCGTCGACAGCAGCGCTCCTTCCAAGGGCAACTCGCCCGCGCCTGGCGCCGCGCCGAGTGAAGCCGGCACTTCAGGTCTCGCGCTGAATCCTAACAAGGAGTGGACGCGAGAGGAGCTCGAGCAGCTGCTTCCCCGTCAACTCGGCCGACTCAAGGCTCAAGGCGTCGACGTGGGCAATCTGCTCAGTCGAAAGAGGAGAAAGCGGGCGGCGCGTGAACGACAGGCGGCCGAGGAGAAGAGCGAGACCCAAGGCTCGGCTAGCGAGGCCAAGGAAGGGACTGTGGGGTCCAACAGCGGTCTCGCATCGGAGAGCGGCGACAAGGTCGAGTCTGTAAAGGGGAACGACGAGGAGAGCGCTATGAACGCGTAGAGCGAGGTGCAGGTGTTTTCCCAACCATGCCAGGATGTTGATGCATGATAATGTATGGTACATCTTTCTGTGTTACCCCTGTGGGCAAATCCGTATGTTTCTATGTCGACTGAGCCGAGGTTCGCAAGAGCCGCAGCAAAACCCAATTCTGCCAGCCGGAGCGAGAATCCTCTACCTAGCCCACCCTATCGCCATCGAGCCTGTTCACAACCAAGCCTAAGCCGAAGGGGGCTTGGTGAGACCTCGGAGTGTCAAGTCGTAAACAACATCCTCGCATCTCTTCAAGTCGTATTTCAGAGAATCAAACTTGCGTCTCAAAGCATCGTTACGGAGGTTGAGCTGGAGACAGCGTTCAGCGTTCAGCATTCATTGTAGAACGGAGCGGGTCGACAATGATCACGCTTACCAAAGAGTACGAGGCGAAGATGTCGTTGACAAACGAGGCGATTTTGACGGGGAGCTCAAAGTTTTGGGCCGTCACAGAGTTGACGGACAATCGGGGCTGGATATAAGTGGTGGGACGTGATGAACAAGGAGAAACGGACCAGCTCGTTGACCATGCTGATGACTCCCTGGAGGTAGTCCTCAGCGAGAAGCGTCAAGCTCTCGGCGCCTTCTTGCTCCACTGGCGATCAGCTTCAGGGGTCTCGAAGTAGGAGACGCAGCGCTACACCACGCTAAGCAACTCACGTCCGATCAGATCCGAGACGGCGAAGGAAGGCGTGAGCTCGTCGGTCAAGATGAATCGAGCAAAAACGACAATCGTGACTAGGCTTCTCAAAGGCGGTCCAAGGGCCCAAGAGTATCTACCATCAGCCAATGGTTCCAGGGTGCAGCCAAGGGTGCGCTGGGGGGTGCTTCTCCGCTTCGATGATCTCGCACTGACCGCAAGCCCCGTGACAGCGCAGTGGGCTAGAGAGGGGGAATGCGTGAAAGCGACGACTTACCGGTGGTATTCACCCGCGGGGACGAACTTGGCAACTTCCAACCATTTACCCTTTCCAGCGGCGATAGAATCGATCGCTCGCTTCGCAATGTCCTGGTCTATCATCAGCGATAAACTCGCGATAGGCCACCCCGGTCTGCGGGGCAGAATCACTCAGAGCACGCCCAGAAGAGCAAGGATCGAGCGAGGGTTTGAAGCAGCGACATACGGGAAGAGGAAGGCGCGGAGTGGAGTCGATGGATCTCAGCCGTGGCGGTTCGGATCACCTCGTCGACAGGCTCGAGAGCTTCTTTCAAGCTCTGCATGTAAGCACCGATCGCGGTTCGGCTGAACGACAAAAGTGTAGAGCGGTGGTGGAGCAGCCAACCGACCCTAGGCAGTCCACTCACCTTTTTCAGGTCTTGCTCCTTTTCGAGGGAGGCAATCACGGCAGTCAGAGCCTCGTCGACGGATTGTGCGCGGGAAGAGGAAGCCATGGTGGTATTGTGAGAAGCAAGAGACAGGCGTGAGATGACTTTTGGGAGAAGTCTTCGATGTCCATGGAGGGAGAGTATGATTACGTAAGCTGTGTCCTGGCTGGTCCTCGCTAGTCTCACTGATGCCAGTTGACATGCCGGCTTCCCCTTCAGGTCGAAAACCCGGTGACCTACCTGGTTCAGTCCTCGAGACTGGGTTAGCTCATCAGGTCCATCGATTTGTTGAGGACAGTCCCCAGCGGAAGGTCGTTTCTGGTCAGAAGGGGATGTGATCTGACTACTTTCGGGCCTGTCCCGCTCAACCCCGCCTCGCAGCTTACCTGTCCGTTCAAAACGGCATCGTGCAAGATGGAGGGGGTTCCCCATCATCATAAGGAAGTAGACTTTTGTCCGCAAGGCTCGTGTCGAGGTATGCTTGGGGTAAGACAGCGGCGTAGAAATGGGTGGCGCGAAGTCGCCCTGTGCGTCTTCTGAGTGTACGACACCGAACTAATATACATAGCTGGCGTCGTGTATGTTTCAAGATAGCCGAGCGGCCTCTCCGGGCTCTTATCTACTTGCTCGGTCCTCGCATACCTTCCTGGAGAGAATTCGCTAGTCGCTCGCCCATACAGTCTCAGCCAGAGGCTGCAGGCACAAAGTTGATTCGGCTTGCCGGCCGTCGCTTCCCCTTTGTCCCTCATCGTTTGCCCGTTCGGCTGCAGCATCCACTCCGCACCATATAAAAGACACACCATCTAGCATTGCAGTCAGCCCGGCATGCATAGCTCTCCGTGCGTACATCCCTCTCGATCGTCTGTTAGATTCCTCGGGCTTCGTCTTCCTCCTCAAGGTCGCCTCTTCGCTGTAGGAGGGGACGTCCCGCCCCTTGAAACTGCAGGGACTGAAAGGACACAGCTTTTCCTCCCTTAAGTATACCTCCTGTCCTGTACAAGTGTTCTGTTCTGCTTTGCATAAGAGCCCCAATGACGTTATCTGTTTGCCACCCAAGCCTATCGAAGGATCCACATCGCTTCCCTTCAGACACCTTACTCTCTTCAAAGAGAGCTGTCAGCTCCTATGATAATCCTCAAATACGCTACGTCCCTTGTGGGCTACTTGTGGTTTACAAAAAGGGCGCCCCCGCCTCGTCTTGTTGCATTCGTTCCATCACTTTCCCCATTTCGACTTGCCACCCTTCCCTCCTGTCAACACTACCAAAGCAGCAATTGATGAAGCTACCCATTCTCGTTACAGCCCTTACCGCGACCACTTCCGCTGCGGCGTCTCAAGCCAGCTCTTCCGCGTCCTCTTACGAGTGCCACCCCCCTCAGGCTTACGCGTGCTTGGACGCATTTGTCGATCCCCGTCACGGCGACGTGCACACATGGAGGCATCTAAGCGACGGCAGACAGGTCGCCTCAAGGGTGATGCAGGAGATGGTCGTCGACTACACTGGTACGAGCTGCCAGGGAAGATATCGAGTAAGTACCCCTCTCCGCTACGAGCGGTGGCGGATATTCCCCGAATCGCTGCTGACCTGCTCAGTGCAATACGGAGAGGGACCACGTTGTTGGGTTGATATTTGGGGTTGATGAGAGCTGCGTGCCCACGGCGGTGCAACGGTCTGAGTCCCCAACTCCCACAGGCTCCTTCCTGTGCGCACATGTCTCCATGAAATGCGACAGGCCGTGTGGCTCCACAACAGGGGGCAGCAACCTCTCGGGAACTTCCAACAAAGAGTCCAGTGGGGAGGAAGGCAAGGACGAACTGTGAGAGCTGCATGTCCCGGGGTAAATGGAGTCCATGAATTTTGCCCAGGGCATTGTGGTGGCATCAAGCTTGTTTGTTGGATCGAGTTTGAGCACGGAGACGGAGCATTAGAGTTTTTGACTCGTTGCATCCCATGTTTCATGACCATTTCTCCAGCTTCCAGTCAGAGCCGCTCTTTTTGTTCTGGGAGCTCCTGCATGCATGGGTGTGAGCGAAGGGACACAGTCCCCAGCATGACTGGCAGATGGCAGTCAACCGAGTCACTAAACCTCTTCAGCACTTTTTGCAAGCTGCATGACGAGCCCACACCACTGTATCCCTCCATCCGGCGATGCCAGGCCCGGTAATGTACATATAAACGCTCGGCCACGAACTATCGGGGAAGTCTTCCGGACCTGATTGGTCGAGGCGGGGTGGGTCATGTCAGAGGCAGCTTGGAGTAAACTCCCCAACAATCTGCAGATGGCTGTATCCCCTTGGTCCCCCTACTCTCGTTCACTCGGGCAGTGTGGGCCTCAACCCCCTCTCTATGTCAAGATGTACACCAGATTCCCAACTCCACACGTGCAGCGCAACGCCACCGTTGGGGTGCTAAGACTCGAAAGGGCAAGTACCCCCCCCCCCCCCCCCCCCCCTTCACATGTTTCCTCCCCTTTTACTTTACAACAGCCATCCTCGGATCTCCTTAACTACCTCTCTGATGATCGCTTCGAGCGGTAGCGTAGTGGTCACCGGTGGTCGCCCGTCAACACCCTTGGTCTCCTGATTCCGCACGTGCCGCCTAGCGAGATTGAGTGATAGCTACCGAAGGCAGACAACTTCAAACCGCTTCAATATAATGTGTAAAACACCTTGCAAAACATCAATTCATAAAGCGACAACGTGTCCGAGCGGTTAAGGAGCTTGACTCGAATACTCGATATCAAGTAGCGTAAGCTGCACAGGTTCGAATCCTGTCGTTGTCGAATAGATCCGATCATCGGATCTGATTTTTGCTTTTTGCTCCGGGCTGGTATGGGGCTTTTTGATTCCGTCCGGGCGGCTCAGTATTGCCCCTCTTGGCACACGATCCTGGACTATGAGCTACCGGGTACCAGGATATGCTTCTGAGCGATGCGAGAATCTCATCTCACCATCTGGCAGGTCGCTGGGCAAAGGGGAGTGGCGAAAATGCTTCGAATCGCCCGACGAGTCATTCGACTGGTAATATTATTCACCAGTCGATATTAATTCAAGCGGACTCGAATCCAGCCAATACACCTCAACTTTTTCTCGCAACCCCCACCTTTCTTCCATCTCTTGTTGTGCATTATGACCGGGGTGATCAACAGCGGGCAGGCGCCTGCTGACCTCAAGGAGAGACTACAAAGATGGTCTCAGAAGCTTGGATCTCTGCCGAACCTTGCATTGCCTACCGACTATCCTCGGCCGAGTCCGTAATCTCCCCAATTACCCCACGAACGATGGACCCGGGCGCAAGCTGACAGACAGGTCCAGCGAAGCTCGTCGAAGCGACCCAGACCTTGTCGCTCCCTGCGACGCTCACACCGTCGTTGCTACGACTGACGCTCGAGTTTTCGACGATTTTCCCCGCTTCCCCCCTCCCCACTCCTTATCACCTGCTCCTGGCGTCATTTGTCATCTTGCTGTTCCGATACACGCCCGACCCGTCGTTGGTGATATGCACCTCAGCCACTGGAACTCCGCGACCGCTGCTGCTCAAGCTCGACATTGCGCCCGAGATGACGTTTTTCGACGTCGTCCGAGTGATCATGGAGCAAGAAGCCGAGTCGACCAAGGATTCCGTATCCTTGACTCAACTCGACGAGCACCTCAAGCCTGAAGGCCCGTTGTACCGAGTCCGATTCTTCGACTCGACCCAGGTCGAGTCTGACCCCAAGGCGTCGTTGACCACCGACTTGACCTTGTTCCTGTTGGCTCACCCCAACGACGCGACCGCAGCGAGAACGTCCATTCCGCCATTGTACCTCCGAATGGCTTACAACTCGCTCCTCTTCACCCAGGCTCGAATCTCTGCGCTTCTTGAGTCGCTCTTGTTCCTTCTCACCGCGGCAGCGACCCACGACGCTTCTCACCCCCTCGGCGCTTTGCCCCTCCGAACGCCGTCCCAAGTCGCGACCTTGCCGGACCCTACTGCCGATCTCGACTGGTGCGGCTTCAAGGGCGCTATCCCGGATATCTTCTCCGCCAACGCCAAGGCCCACCCAGACAGGGTGTGCGTTGTCCAATGTCAGCCAGAGGAAGGACAGGGGATTATGGACGGACCGAGTCGAGGACGAAGAACGTTTACCTATCGAGAGATCGACCGCGCAAGCAACGTCGTCGCTCATGCTCTTATCAAGAACGGATTGGAGAGAGGCGAGGTGGTCATGGTCTACGCGGCCAGAAGTGTGGAGATGGTCGTCTGCGTCATGGGTATCCTCAAGGCTGGAGGTGTCTTCTCGGTCGTCGGTGAGTCACCCTTATCCCCATGCCCCACAATGTTGCAGACTGTACTCATACCCAGACCCGGCATACCCGCCCAATCGTCAGACCATCTATCTCCAAGTCTCGACGCCGCGAGCGCTCCTGATCATCTCCTCTGCTGGAAGTCTCGCGCCCACCGTCTCGGACTACATTGACCAAAACCTCTCACTGCGTCTCCTTGTCCCGGCCATTTCCCTCTCGGAGAATGGCGTCTCCGGATCAAGAGCGGGCGAAGAGGACATTCTCGCGCCTTTCCAGCAATTCGCCGACACGCCCGCTGGAGTTGTACTCGGACCTGATTCGCCCGCGACGCTCAGTTTCACGTCCGGTTCGACCGGTATCCCCAAGGGCGTCAAAGGTCGACACTACTCGTTGACCCACTTCTTCCCATGGATGCGGGAGAGGTTCGGTCTGAGCGAGGAGTCGAGATTCACCATGCTCAGTGGTATCGCCCACGACCCCATTCAACGTGACAGTGAGTCTGCCTTAGACATTTACATCCTAAACTGACATTCAGTGTTCACGCCGCTCTTCTTGGGTGCCTCGCTCTACGTCCCAACTGCTGATGACATCGGGACTCCGGGTCGGCTTGCTGAATGGATGGCCGACCAAGAGGTCACCGTCACCCACCTTACTCCGGGTACGCCCGTCACCGACTCTCCGCAAAGCGCTACTAATTTTCAGCCATGGGTCAATTGCTCTCCGCCCAAGCGACACGCCAGATCCCTTCGCTGCGAAACGCCTTCTTTGTCGGTGACGTGCTGACCAAGCGAGACTGCACACGTCTGCAAGGACTCGCGAAGAACGTCTGCATCATCAACATGTACGGTACAACTGAAACTCAACGAGCCGTCTCGTACTTTGCCATTCCTAGCGTCAACGAGGACCAGACTTTCCTCTCCACGCAAAAGGACCTCATCCCTGCCGGTCAGGGAATGATCGATGTCCAACTTCTCGTTGTCAACCGCACTGACCGAAACGTTCCTTGTGCGGTGGGAGAAATGGGAGAGATCTACGTCCGATCAGGTGGTCTGGCTGAGGGCTACCTCGACCCCAACTCGACCGCCGAAAAGTTTGTTCCCAACTGGTTTGGATCGGGAGTTGAGCGAGAAGACACGTTGGCCAAGTCCAACCCGGAAGCGGCCAAATACTGGTTCGGTATCCGAGACCGAATGTACCGATCGGGTGATCTGGGACGATACCTCCCCGATGGACGGGTCGAGTGTACCGGTCGAGCCGATGATCAGATCAAGATCCGAGGATTCCGTATCGAGTTGGGTGAGATCGACACTCACTTGTCCCGGCACCCACTGGTCCGAGAAAACGTCACATTGGTGCGACGAGACAAGGACGAGGAAAAGGTCCTCGTGTCTTACTTTGTGCCCATCGACGGCGACGAGCTGGACGGCTTGATGAGCGCCAGCGAAGCCGGTGATGACGAGGACGACGCCGATCTCAAGTCGGAAATGATCCGAGGGGTCAAGCGGTACCGTCGACTTATCCGAGATATTCGAGAATACCTCAAGAAGAAGTTGCCGTCTTACGCCGTCCCAGCCGTCTACTTCCCTCTCCGAAAGCTGCCGCTCAACCCGAACGGAAAGATCGACAAGCCGGCGCTTCCGTTCCCGGACACGTCGCTTGCTGCGCCCTCGGGACCCAAGACGGATATGACTGCGACTCAGAAGACCATCCACGACATTTGGTTGCGACTACTGCCATCTCCACCGGGCTCGATTGGTCTCGACGAGAACTTCTTCGACATGGGTGGACACTCTATCCTCGCTACGAGACTGATTTTCGAGATCCGAAAGGCATTCGTCGTGAACGCTCCACTTGGTCTCGTCTTTGACAAGCCCACGATCGAAGGGCAAGCTGCCGAGATTGACCAGCTCCGCGAGGCCGATCTGGGTGTGGCTGGAGCTGCCAACGGAGGAGCCAAGGAGGCTTCTGCCGAGGCGCCATATGCGGACGATGTCGCCAAGCTGTCCGCCGAACTGCCCGACTTTAAACCTCTCCCCGCCAACTTTGGCCAAGAACCCTTGACAATCTTCCTGACGGGAGCGACCGGTTATCTTGGAGCATTCTTGCTGCGAGCCTTGTTCTCTCGAAACGTCAAGAAGATCATCGCTCTCGTGCGGGCCAAGAGCCCCGAAGCCGGTGTCCAGCGACTCCGAGAGAGTGGAGAGGGTCGAGGCGTGTGGGACGAGTCGTGGGTCGCCGATGGCAAGATTGAAGTCGTCACTGGTGACCTCGCCGAGGACAAGTTTGGGCTCTCTGCCGAGACTTGGAGCCGCATTGCCGGGGAAGCCGACGCGGTGCTGCACAACGGAGCGATGGTTCACTGGGTCTACCACTACGCCAAGCTCCGAGCCGCCAATGTCCTCTCTACGCTCACCTGTCTCAAGCTCTGTGCGGAAACCAAGCCAAAGCTGTTCAGCTTCATCTCATCGACCGGTGTGCACGATTGTCAGGAGTTTGTCATCAAGTCGGACGAGATTCTGGGCAACGGCGGGGCTGGTTTGAGCGAAGATGATGATCTTGAGGATGGAAGGTATGGGCTGAATGGAGGTTATGGCCAGACCAAGTGGGTCAGCGAGAAGATCATCTTTGAGGCTGCCAAGAAGGGCCTTTCTGGATGGACCATCCGACCAGGGTACATTCTTGGTGATTCTGTCACTGCCGGTGAGTGGTTTATGTATCTTTCGACTGCATCCGCTGACGATAGTAACCAACACGGACGATTTCATTTGGCGAATGGTCAAGGGGTGTCTCCAACTGGGTCTCATCCCTGATATCAACAACACGGTCAACGCCACTCCTGTCGACCACGTCGCTCTCCTTTCTGCTCTTTCGGCCACCTCGCCGTTGAGCGGCAAGGCTTTCAAGGTCGGACACGTTACCGGTCACCCCGCGATCCGGTACAACGATCTCCTCGGTGCGCTGTCCACGTTCGGCTACCAGGTTGAGCGAACCGAGTACATCCAATGGCGAACCAAACTCGAACACCACGTCCTGGAGACACAAGACAATGCCTTGTTCCCCCTTCTCCACTTTGTCTTGGATGACTTGCCGACATCGACCAAGTCTGCCGAGCTTGATGACACCAACTCTCAAGCTCTCGCGTCGAGCAACGGGTTCAAGCCGACCTCGGGTGTCACCGAGGATCTGATCGGCCTGTATATCGCCTGGCTCGTCCGGGCTGGATTCATGCCTGCGCCGCCTCAGGCTGGCAAGAAGGCCTTGCCCAAGCTGGAGGGTGGCGTGCAGACTGCAATGGGCCGAACGACTGCTGGGGTGGCGTAGGACGGAGAGGGCTGGGCGAAATAAGAGATGCTTTTGGAAGTGATCTTTCATAGTCTCATGCATATAGGATAAGAAGCAACAGCTGGGTCTTTCTTTTGTTTTCTGCACTTTGATCTCAGCGGGTGCGATGCAAGAGGGTGCTGGGCGAGAATGTGAATAGACGATGCGACCGAGG